TTGTTATTGTATTTTGTTTTTATTTCAAGTTGTTCATCTCAATTAATGTTGTTTTTATTTAAAGTTGTCATTTATCATAATTTTTTCTTTTTTAAATATTCTATTTAAAATTAATTTTATTCAATTTTATTCTTTAAATTTAATTTTAAATACATTTTTATAATCTAAAATTAATAATTATTTCATTATTTATTTTTATTCTAAAAAATTAACTAAACTATTTTATTTAAAAAATACTAAATATTTTCAAAAATTTATAATTAAAATATGAAAATAAGAAAATTAAAAATCTGGAAAAAAAATCAAAAATAACAAAAAAAACAAAAAACATGAACCAAAAACGAAAAAAAAAACAAAAATAAAAACAAAAACGAAATAAAAAAACAAAAACAAAAACAAAAACGAAATAAAAAAACAAAAAACCAAAAACCAAAAAAAATAAACAAAAAAAAACAAAAAACAAAAAAAATACAAAATACAAAAACGAAAAAAAAAACAAAAACGAATAAAAAAATCAAAAATAAAAAAAAAATAAATAAAATCATGCAATTGAGAAATCGGTTTTCACTACAAACTTTTACATGTTATAAAAATTGAAGGTGAGAAATCGGTTCTCCCCAACCGATTTCTCACCTTAAATAATAAATGGGTCATTTTAATAAATAAAATGAGGATGAGATTATTCAAAAAAAATAAAATAAAAATTGATATATTAAAAAAAAAAGTCAACAGGCATCCAAAACATAAAAATCAACAAGTGCGAAGACCAAAACAAAAAAACAACAAATATATAGTTTAATAAATAAATGTAATTTACTCAAGGACCTAAAACATTAAATCAATGGATATGATATCCTAAAATATTAAAGTTGTTGGTGCGAAAACCAAAAAAATAAAAACAATAGGTGCAAGATCCAAGAAAGAAAAACAAAACCCCCAAGATATAAAATCATAGTTTGACGAAAGGATTTAAAGTATAAAAATAGAGTAAGAATTTAATAAATAAAAGTAGTGGAGGCAAAAACAAAAGAAATAAAAATAATGAATGTGAGTGTCTAAGACAAAAAAAAAAATGAGCCTAAGACTCAAAACATGAAATGGTGAACATAATGAAAAAAAAATTATTGAAAACTTAAATATATTTTTAATTTTTATAAAATAAGTGAGATTTGATTTTATTTCTTGTAAATTTTTTTCACTTTTCATCCTTCTAAAATTCATAAACATTATTTTTTATCTTTCTAAAATTTTGATTTTGATCTTTTTAAAATATTTTTTTTAAATTTTTATATCTTAAAAATTTTAAGTCGTTATTTTTCGTTCTTCACAGTCATATTAAAGTAGATAAATAATAATTATTGTAAAAATCTATACAATTTTTTAGATTATTAAATATTGATATGATATTACTAATATTTGTAAGAAATATTTAAAATAGTCATTTAACCTATTAATAAAAAAAGAATTAAAAAATTACATAAAATATAAAAACTAAAAATATTAGTTTTAATTTTATATAAATAACAAAATTATAAAAAACAAAATCAAAACTTGTAATTTCACATGAATTAAAAACATATCAAAGCGAATATACAAATAGGAGACACGATAACCCGACAACATAAACTAGTAGGTGCTAGAATCCAAAGTATAAAATGTTGACGCAAGGATCCAAATACATATCAGTATTTGGCGTAGGATCCAAAAACATATATATAAAAAAAAAAACAAATACATCTCTTTGTTAATAAATATGTTTCTCTTTAACCTCAAGTGTGTGGTTCAGCGGCAGGAGTTAATCCACGCAAGATCAGGGGTCCGAATCCTGTCATGTGTATCTGCGTTAAATCTAATTTATTTCATTTTTCATATAAACTATTTTTGAAAAGATCTTTTTCAGTTACACTGACTCCTTTTTCCTCTACCTATCTCATCCTCAGCCACTTTATGTTAGTGCTTCTTTATTATTTTATTTTTTTTATTTTCTTGGTTCATGTATTTAGCAATCAGACTAATATCTTATTGATATCATCTTTAAATGCTATTTTTTCTTTGATCTTTATTATTCTTTAAAAAAAAAATTTACTCCATTTTCGTTATTCTTTAAATCTTTTACATCTATTTTCTTCGCTCTCTTTTTCTTATAGAAAAAAATAGTATTATATCATAATTTTATTTCCTATATTGAATACAAAGTACAAGTTAATATGTTAAATTAAGTTTTCATTCAATAATACTTTTTTTTTGTGAATTTATTTATTATGGCTTATCAGCGATTAACCACATTAATAGAAAAGAAGTTGGTGCATTTTCTTGAAGACACCATCATTAATTTTTCAATTAATAAGATATGATTACAATTATTTTTTTAGTTATAATTTACTTATTAAAATAAGCATATATTATTTCAAAAAGTAATTTCTAAAACTGTATTATTTTGTTATAAACATAGTTTTAGAAATTACTTCTCGAAATAACATGTTTAAACAGAAAGCAATTTTCAGTACTATTATTTTATTTTAATCTCATTATAACTTTAAGGTTGGCGGTAGAAGGGTGGGTGAAGTGAAAGATGAATGCTAAAATGAAGAAAGTGATATATCTGAAAAATCTTACGAGATTAAAAATAAAATACAAGAATATTTACATAAAAAAAATATAAGGAAATATATTATTAATTATATGAGATGTAATCAAAACCCTAAAAACAATATGGGTGGAGATCCAAATCATACAGATAATGGGTACAAAGATCCAGACGTATAAAAGGAGTGGGTTCGATGACCATAAAACATAAAACTTAAGAGCTTCAATGTACTGTGTACAGACCATTTTCTGTGTAACCCATGTGCATAGCATTCCAACAATCAACCTTTCTCTCATCCCAGTCATCTCAAACACTAGTTTTGAATCTCTCAATAACCCACATGTTCCACACGTGGCAACCAAATTATGTGTGTGTTTACATTAGAGTTGAGCCGTGAAAAATCATGTTTAACTAAATTCTAGAAGCTATGAATAGAAGTTTCCGCGTAAATTTCTATGTAGACGTGGGGAGAGAAGAAAAAATTATTTTAAAAATAAAAACCAAACTCACACTATATGGGCCTTATATTTAGAGTTAATCACCTATACATGTTAGTGTAAAATTTTTTTTATACTAGCAACTAATTATATCTTTTAATTGTGTCATATCACTGTAAACATATTTACTTTTAACAATAACACGACACAATTAAAAGATATAATTAATTGTCAGTGTAAAAAAACTTTACACTGACAGTGTATAGGTGTATAGGTATAAAACAAAAAGAATGAATAAAATTTCAGGATATTTGAAGTCGAGCAAATTTATACATTAAAAAAAAAAAAAAAAGAGGGGAGGGGGTATCCATTAAACGTTTTTTACACTGTCAATGTACAATAATATACTTCTTACATAGTTAATTCATGTTTGAGTAAGTAATACTTCCACAAGCAATTCTTAATCTATTAAGCAGGGATTGCTGGGGCTGCATTCCAGCAGCCCTCATCTGATACAGAAACTTAACAGCTTCAATATACAAACCATTCTGTATGTAACCCATAAGCATAGCATTCCAACAATCATCCTTTCTCTCCTCACGGCTCATCTCAAACACCCGTTTTGCTTCTCTCAATAACCCACATCTGCCACACATGGCAATCAAACTACACTGCACATAGTGATCCGAGACCAGCCCAAGTTTGATAGCATCAGCATGAACCTGCTCACCACACCGTTCCTGATTCAGCATCTTGCCACACGCCTTGAGAACACTAGAAAACGTGAAGCAGTCCTTCTTCACCCCTCGCTTTCCCATCTCCTTGAAGTCGCCAAAAGCCTCAGAGAAATGCCTTTCCCTGCAACCACTAACAATTTTAGCCGTCCAAGTCAAAGTGCTATGCCGAGACACCCCATTGAAGACAACACTCGCATCTTCCAGGCTCGTGAATCTCCCGTAGAAGTTGATCAAGGAGCTGCTGAGAAGCACGTGATCACAAGACCCCAACTTCAACAACCACCCATGAACTTGCATTCCCAGAGGGACATTCACAGTGCAGGCACAGGCCCTGAGAAGGCAAGCCCATATCCACGGAGGAAATTGCAGCATACCCAACTGGCCCAACATGTTGACAAAAACATCCGTAGCCTCCTCGTAATCGGCATTATCATAGTACGCAACAAACAAGGTTGCCCAAGAGTTGAAGTCCCTCACACGCATTTTGTCGAACAGGTGGCGTGCATCTTCCAACAGACCACAGGACACGAACATGATGAGAATCCGGTTGAGGAAAGACAAGGGGGGTCTGATGCCGCTCTTGGCGATGTGCGTGTACAACTCAATTGCGGTTTCTGGGTCGGCGGAAACGGTGCACTCTTTTATCAAAGAGGTGTAGATATCAATGGATATGGGAAAGGGTAGAGCGTCCATTAAGTGCAATATGTCAGAGGTTGCAGCCCCTTTTCTCTTCTTTTTCTTCTTTGTTAAAGTGGTTGTTTTGGGAGTAAGGGGTTGTGGGAAAGTGTGATTAGGGAAGTTGTGAATGGTGCGGCGCAGGGGTAGTCGAAGCTCGAGTTGATGGTTGGGAGGAGGCAAAGTACGTGGGTATTTGTTGTTGAAATCCACGTTTTCGTCGAAGAATACGTGGTGGGTTGGTACTGTTGGCAATGGTGCAGTGATGAGAACCATTTTTAAGGTGGACGATAAACAACCTACGATTCACCCTATCTATGTTTTCTTCTATCATAATTCTCTTGAACCCCCAATCCTAAACATTCAAACACCGCCATACGTATTTTCTCTTAAACCCTAAACCCTAACCACCGAAACACCAGCGTTCAGTTTCTGTTCTTTTCTCGGGCTCTCTTATCCTCTCCTCTGCATAAAAAATGGAGTATATTACATACACGTTGAGCTTTTATAAGATTGCACGTGCATCCTATTCTTTTTCACCTTACTGAAACTACTTAATTGTTTTCTGAAAACAACTACTTAATTGTTTAAAAATATTATACTGAAGACTCTGATTTTTTTCATCCTACAATAACTACTTAATTGTTCAAAAATCAATATATACTGAAGCCTCTTAACATTGTATTCATGGCCCTTAATTTCACTTAATTATTTAAAAATATATTACACTATCCTTCAAATACTATAAGCATTAAAAAAAAAAAAAAGCGAAGTAAAAAACATAGAGGGTGTGTACTTTCACGTAACTGCATGGAATATCAATATAATTTACTCTAAAATATATATATAACACCCGAACAGAACTAACATTTCAAACGAACAGAACTAACAATTCAAAGTGGGAAGTCAATAGGGTACTTTGCAAATTAAGGAAATATTTGGTACAATAATTTTTTAATCAATAAAAATGAAATGAATATTGAAGTGTTTACAGATTTCTTGATTTTCGTATTAATCAAACCGATAAAAACATAATTATAGACCTTCTACGCGGCAAGGACTAAAAGATCACCATATAAATCAGCAAAATCCTTTAAGATAAGATCTTTCTCCGACAGCTTCATTATTTTTTTCACACTTGCTTTCCTCCACAAACTTAATTCATATTTTATCATAACTCAAAGTGAACTATTGTCATAAAAAAATACACACCATGTAGCTAGCTATATGATACAAATATAACGACTTTTGTTTAATCTTTTCCAATATTTGCCGTGACTTATTTTGGTCTCCGTCATTCATATTTTATCTTTTTTCTGTGCACGCATTTCAAAAGTGTTCTTATAAATAAATTATAAAAAAAAACAAAACAAAAAACAAAAAACAAAATTTGACTCGTTTTAATTGTTCAAAAGCATTTTCCCAACAGAAACTAACACAGTCTCATTGAGAAATAGACACGATAGGAGGGGGAAATTAAATTGTAAACAATTCAAGAATATTGCATGATACAAATATATAAATCAATGAGTTGGTACTAACCAGGCAGAAGGATGATTTGGGGGGACAAGGAAAACAATTAGAAGAATCCATAGGAGAAAAAGTAGCCCCAGTTTTGACTTTTGGGACAATTTCCCGAATAGGAATAATAAGCCACCCTAGCAAAAAGAAGAAAAATAAAATGATAACAGGGAAAATTGGCATCAAATGATACAAGTGAAGGAAAAAAAAATTATGGTGGCACTTCACACCAAGTCATGTCAAGTGTCAAAATCGAACAAGTAGCTGCACGTTTTGGGAAATAATGCTTTCTCATACTGTTTCCTTAAAGTGTTAGATCAAGTGGCCCTTTACTTTTGGTCTTCAGCATTCGCTTGAATCCCCACATTACTAAATAATCAAATATGGCAGCTGAGGAATGAAAGTTCATCAAGAGTCTTAAACATCAGGACCTGAATCTGTCTCCTCAGATAATTTATCATGTATCATTGGACTTGGAGTAGATCGGTATTGAATAGATTGTAAGAAGTTGAAATAAGCATACTTAATGTCGAACTGCATATCGTACCCTGCATAAAATATAAGTAGCATCAAAATTTTTATTAAAATTGGGCATGAAACTGAAAAGGGAAGGCTTGGTCCTTACAATAGTTTACTGCAATAGTTAATCCTCCATCATCTGCATTCTGTCTAACATGATGAAACCACATACTAGGCCTGCAGTAATTACATCCTGTCAGCCTGGGCATTACCATGCATATTCTACAGAAGGGATGCTCAACAATAAGATTAGAGAGAATTTGAACTGTTTGTTAAAGTCCCACTCACAATACTCAAGTTAACAATCCGATACTCTTTGATACTACCAAATAAAGCAAAAACCAAAGTTTTATTACAAGGTTGCCAGAATATCCCCATTAGTGTTTTGAGCTACATCAGGTCATGAACTGTTCCATCAGTTTGGTTCCCATTTCAACAAAAGAAATAAGAAAATATATTATTGAATCATTCTTTAATGGTGATTAGTTAGCATGGCAAAAAAATTCAGGTGAGTTTGATTATTCCAGTAAGCTCGTAAAACGGCTCACAATCACTACATCCATTAAGTTCAGTTACTTCAGTAGTATTAGAGAAAATGGATTGAAAGAAAAAAGTATAATGCACGAATGACTACGATCCTAACACAGATATGTTATTTCAATCAATATCATACTGAACCTTGGCAGTTGTCGCAGCAGCAAGGTATGCCACTATGCCTTGACGTAGAGATCATGATTCATGGTCACGGGTTCAAATTTATCATATGAGACATGGATTCATGATCTGTTTCTCCACTAAAGAATTCGAAGTAATGAGTTCTGAATATGGGTTATGTTCAGAAGAGGAATTACAATCTCCTTCTCCAAACAACAATTCGTGAATAATACCCGTGTTTCATGAACTTGACATATAGTAAACAAAGTAAAGTTGTTTAATCATGAATTGAGTGACATGTTATGGTATCACAATGCAATAGCTCTTTTTCTACACACGAATTACGCAGAACCAGAGCTAAAGCATCACTTGACATATAACAGTCCTATAAACAGTAAAATCAGCAAAACATTGAAAATAAACAGATGATAAAGAATTCCCAACAGAAGAAAGAAAACATAATATTAAAACACACAACGCAAGGGAATCTTACAAATAGAGAACCTCTCCAGCCTTTACAGTACACTCAAAAGGCCGAGGGCCATTGAAGTAAAGGGGAAACTTAGCCATCTCATCGTCCAAGGTCTCCGGAGAAGGATAAGGATCCACACTGCACCAAGGCACATACCTTGTTGGCTTCTCAAGTTCCAAATCAAACTCCCCCGTATCCTACAAACACCCAAATGAAATCAACTTCCAAAGGTAACACTTTTAGTACCAAAACCCAAACTTGATAGAGAGGATCACTATGGATAAATTTTTTCGGAAACACTTATGAGAGGGAAAAATAAAAAGAAAAATTGAAATAAACTTTTCCATAAACTGCATAAACTAATATGTAGAAATGTTATCCTATTAGTTCCTCCAAAATTTTATTTTTAACTGATGCATAAACTAATTTTCACCGACTAGAAAAGTTTGTTTCAATTTTTCATCTCAGGAGAAACTTATCAGAATGAAAATACCTCAGAATATGTGTATGTGGCAGCAGGGTAGTGACGAATGTACAAGCGATGAACATCGGTAGGTGGAAGCAACAAGAAGTGCTTCTCGCCGGTGACAACGGCGTAGAGATTCTCGTAGTGATCCTTGTGGAAGGAGGTTCGGGAGTGATGGTTACCGATCCAGAGGTTCACAGCTTCGGGCTCGGAGCCAATGGCTTGGGAGGCCCAGGCGAGGTGGGGGTCGCAGTCGGCGGCGAGAGGGGAATACTCGGAGCGAAAGCAATCGTTTTGTTGCTGCGCGTAAGCCACCAGGTTGGGGGGGTCGGAGGAGGCGATGAGGCGAAGGGCGTGGGGGAAGGGCACATGTTGCACGTGCGCGGAGGCGAAGCAGAGGGAGGAGTGGAGAGGGGCGAGGGCGTCGGCGGCGCCGGTTGGGGTGAGGTGGAGGGAGACGGTGGCGGCGGAGAGGGTTTGGGAGAGGTAGGAGGGGTGGGGCCAGGAAGAGAGTGCGGGCCAGTGTGTGATGGCGTTGGAGATTATGCATGGCTTGTTTGGGGTGATGAAGTCTCGTAGGAACTGAAGGGGACTTGGTGGGGACTCTAGTCTTTCCACTCTTCCGCTGTTTCCCAAACTCAAATCCCTCACTTCCCTCCACAGTTCCTCTATCTCCTCCTTCATCTTTCTTACTCTCACTTTCTCAGCAACACGTCTCTCGAGCTTTTTATATGTAACATGGAATCAAATGATCCTTGTATGTAGTTATGATTGTGATCACATTGTTGACTTTTAAGCCATTGAACGCAGGTGAATCAGACAGAATGAGAATTTCATAGGTGACCCTTGTATGTAAGTTTTATCATAATAATAACATAAACGGAGACAAGGATTAAATAGAATGTGAAAGTATTAATTTAAACGTAAACCTTAAGCGGGTGATGATTTTTGTTTTTACAGGCATTGTGTGTTGTATAACTATTACCTTTAACAAATTGCTAAATCAAAATTGTTTTTGGCAAAATATACAGGCAATGGCATGAAAGCATTTGTATCATTTGCAGGGCAAAGTCAATCTATAATGGTTGAGAAACATCAAATTTATGGAAGAAAATATATTTGTATTTTGTACGAGATTTTTGCCAACTGCATGATGTATTCGATACAAGTTTGGTTGTGAAACAAGCAAAAGATGCACATCTCAGTTTATCCGTGGGGTGCAATCTCCCGAGTGGAAGTTTTCTGTGTTTCCCAGTTACTTGACTGTTTCCGGGTAAGTCCATTGATTGAGAATGACAATGGAAGGCAAAATGGGGCTTTTGCCACACCATGTCACCAAATGGCTTCGACTATTTGTGGTTGGTTATCTTGGCGCCATTTACTTGTTGCATGCTTTGCAGTGTGGAATGCTCAAGTCAACAACCAATGGCAAAGAACCAATCAGTGCCTTGATCTCCAAGACATCTTGAGTCCAACTAGCTTCCTCATGCAGCAATGCAAGTGGTCATGAATGAAAACTATCAATCTTTTGCCACATCAGCTGCTCACTCAGTTCGAGGACGCTGTGTTGCCTTGACGAATTCTATTGGGCAAAGGCCTTGCAATGAGCCCATCTGTGACCCAGCCTACCAATTCTCCATCGTTTTTGACATGGTTGAATTCCCTTTCCACATAATCCAGAGATATATGCAGCCTCCCACCAGGTTTGGAATCGTAAAGGGTTCCTTTTCCTCCAATTCCTGCGTTCTTTTCTAACCAATAAAGGTAATTTACCTGAAACAATGCCTTGAGCATATCTTGCTGTGAACAGTTTTCTTTGAGCACAACCTGAATCAACCATGGCAAATGTTTAATTAATAGCCTCTCAAATTGAGAGAAAAAAAAAAAAAAAAAAGAAAACTTTATGTGCCAATTTGCTAATGCCTCACAGGGAAAACCATTTTATAAGTAAACTTCAACATTTTTCAACCTCTATAGCTTCCAGTCTTTATTTTTGGAGATGGAGAAACACAACAGAGCAGCTCAGAAAGGAAAAGAAAAGCTACAAGATAAAAATGAATTGTGGGTAGCCTTCTGCCTCCAATTAACACAGTTCTCTTGTTTCAATGCTTCACACAAATCTCTTTACATTTGGACCTCCCCACTATAAAAGTTGGTTGATAAAAACTCCAAAAAAGGTTGGAGCCAAAAACAAGGATAGAAGTTGAAAAATTCCTATACAATTGCTTCCTGATAAGAAAAGTTAATGTGTCCTTTAAATTCCAAAATATTGGACTTATTTATTTCTTATTTTCAAAAAGTCTCTCCCACCTCACCCCCAAAACAAAAAGAGAGACAGACAAAGAGAGAGAGAGAGAGAGAGAGAAGAAGATACTCTTAAGCATACACACATACATTAAAAAAAATATATAATGAGAAATGCTCATCCCAACCCACTCATTAGGATGGGAAAAATTAAAACGAAGTCAGTTGCCAACTTACACAGAATTTTCCCATGTGCTCTGACAAGATGTAGCCTTCATTTTTATAAAGCCCAAAGAGAGCAATCACCTCTTCCTTGCTGGTGACAATTTCACTGAGCTTGGATCCAAGCTGCAGACGACGTTCAATTTCTGCAGCTGCATCTTTTGCTTCAGATGATAAAACAATTGATTGTGCCTATTACAAAAGTAAACAAGCCAAAATACATACAAATTAGATTGTGCAAAACATAATACCAAAAATTTCTGATACTTGGCCATCCTTCTAGGCAACCTATCAATTGATGTTAGAAGAGTATATGTGATATAATGTTAATTTAGATACTTCCTGGATTCAACCCATGTTGATAAGTGTAGTGAAGAAGGAATAACAGTGGCATAATAACAATGATCATATAAAAACCCTAAAGAGTTGCAAAAGTAACTTTCCCGACAAGTTATCATAGCAAGGAAGTACTATTTGAAGTATCAAAATAAATAAGTCAATCTAATTTTAGCAAGAAGCAAATTTTGAATGGGGAGGATCTTTGTTTCAAAGGTTTAAATGTCATAACTTTTAAACTTTAACACAAGCAAGATTAACTCACTTTGTTTGCAAAAGTTGCATTTAATATGGGTACAGCTGGAAATAGTGGCTCCTCATCATTGACCTCTTTAACCGGAGGTGCCTGGCCACTTAGTAGATATTCACTAAACACCAAGCCTGTCAACATAATCAACAAGATATATAAAGTTTTGACCTTTTAATAAACAAATCAACCCCTAGTAGCATTTCCAGATTTCCAAGTCCTCCAAGAATTGATTGCAATAACATTTCTAAGACTTCTGTATAATTGCAACCTACAATAACTTGCAATATTTTATAACAAAATTAAATCTATATAGAAGAGACATGACAGAATATTCAATGTTTCATCAACAGTCAAAAGTAAACTAATTCTCTCTAAGAGTAATAGAACACAACTCCCACATGATTGAGTTTGAGTGGATGTAAGAAAGAGATTATAAATTACTTGCACGATAAGGATTTAAAGTCCGTAATTGAATGGACTGATATGACTTCAGATTGCAGTACATGTGGATCCAAGTCATGACACTAAATGAAGCAAGAACAAGGGGTGTGGAGGAGCCTATGCAGTTACCCAATCCTATACCAAGCCCGATACCAATAAACCTACTTGCCATTCCTTGCACTTCCCCTTTAGCAATCACCTACAATTTACAATTATTTTCACAAAGAAAGCAATATATAAGTGAAGCAAATATGTCATGAATCATACCCCTTATAGCACTAAATGGAGATCTTCCAAACTAAGAAAACAAAATGATGTTGTGCTGAATCATTAACTTAATACTTCTATTTAATAAAAAAGAAAGGACCTATTTTTCACCTCAGCAAAATTCCTTTGAGCAGCAAAACCAGCAAAGAAACAGCTCCTGGTAGAAGCCTGTGAAGACAAAAACAGTTCAAACTTCAAACTTTCAATCATAGTTATCAATCTCAGATAGCATTGCCTAGCAGGAAACTCAGAAATGCTATAGCAGGAAGCACAATGACCACTATTTTAAATGGTATATGATACAAGCTAAATAGTATACACTAAACATATAAATACTCAGAAAAAACAAAACAAAATAACCCAAATTAAAGAAGTTCACAATTTACACACACGATTGCCATCAATATAGGAGCAATAAGAACATAGTAATGAAATCAAAAAAATGAAAGATGGTGATGAAATTAAAAGAAAAAGAACATGAAAAATTAGATAAAAATCAGCAGAATGTGAATTGGGAAGTCTAAAGGAAGAAAAAAGAACATAACACCTTTCTAACAAAAAAAGTCTTATAAAGTGTGAAGGAACACACATAACATTTGTGGAATATTTTACCCAAAAAGAAAGCACAAACAACCATTTTCCAAGGGTTAAAATGTTTTTGAAGGTTATATCATGGTAGTAGCGCTATAGCTCATAAAAGGCTGCTATTGCAGCCACAATGGCCGCTATTGAAAACTGCTGTTATTTGAATCACAAAGCAGCCTAGGACCACTCCATTATAGCACCTTATTGACTACCATGTTTTCAATCAGGTGATAATACCTAAATTGTTCAATATTCTGAAAACAAAATCATAGGTACCAAGCACCACTGGAGGTAAACATAGATTAGACAATCACTTTATACAAATCATTATCATACTTAATGCATTGTATTCATTTAAATCTTCTACTCATACTCACTAGAATGACCTGAATAAATGGAATCATCATGTAAGGTACAGATTCTAGAATCCTACACACTCCTCAAACTGTCTTTACCAACACTATCTAAACCAAAACATTCAAAGCCAATGCAAAGCCATCATAGACTAAAAACTTCCATCACCTGAATCAAAGAAGCAGCAGAGCGAGAGGCCCCAGCCACAGCACCAATGAGCACAAAAAACTGAGGGAAAGCAGGAGTACACATCTCCAAACCAAAAGCAGCATTCTCAAGAAGATCAGCAAACAATCTCCACCCTTTGGGGTGAACATCAAAATGGCGACCAAAGTTGGACAACATGATCTTACTCATGTACCCAATTCCATCTTTAAGCACCCAATTGATTGCAGCCGCAGTGGGAATAGCCCCTTTTCCCAATCCAACAGCATAGAGCAAAGACTGCGTCGCCAACACCCCACTAACTTGACAAGCCACACCCTGAACCCCTCTCCACAGAGAATACTCCAAGTAATCACTAGTCACGCTCTGGGGAAAACCTTCTGGAAGCATCAACCGCTTCAAGATGTCCAAGCACTTGAACCACACGAAGCTTAAAAACTGCGAAGGTTTGAGAGATGAAACCTCGGAGAACAACCCATGTTGTGAGGAGACAAAGGCATCGTTGGTGTGATCAGGGACAAGCTTGGTCCACTTGCCCCCTTTGACTTCCCAAACGGATTCGGATAAAGTTTTGGCCTTTGAGACTTTGACGAGAAGGAGGTGGCAGGAGAAACAGATGGCGGAAGAGCATAGGAGGGAGAGGAAAAGGGTGTGATTGGAATTTGAATTGGGATTGGAATCAGAGTCTGAGGAGTCAAAGGGGTTACCCCAACTACCACCACCGTTGTTGTTATCGCCGCCGCCTCCGCCGGAGAATGTAGGGAGGAGGGAGAAGCGAAGGGTGTGAGAAGGGGTTTGGTGGATGGAGCGGAAGCGGGCGGCGGCGGGGAAATGTGGCGGCGAGGGAGGAGGACGGTGGCGGAGTGGAAAAGAAGTGAAGAGGGAGGAGGGCGTGGAAGTGCAGCCCATTTGGGTGGTTCCGGCGAAGAAGGAGAAAGGTCAAATGTTTGAAATCATGGGATTCGGTTGAGGGCAGTATCCAACAACCAACGTGACCGGTTACGCTCACTGTTCATATCCATGCTGCTAAATTCTTAATCAGTGTGCTTGTTTTAAACTAGTTAGTAATTAGGCACAACTCCAACCTTTTTTTAAAAGTAGAAAAGTTACATAAATATAGCCTTTTTATCTATGCTAATAATAAATGGATTATTCCGTTTCCATTACACTATTTTTTACTTATTTTACTCCCAATAATTGTTTTATTTCGTATTTAACAAATCTATTTTTAATTTTATAAATATTTATAATCTTGTAAGGTATTAACCGTTAATTGCCTTAAATAAGAATTATAACGTAATATATATTTTATATTACTAATAAAAGAGATGTAATATATTTATAATACATATTTTATATTATAAATATGAAATATGAAAATTTTCATAATGAAGATAAAATATTGTAAATAATTTAAAAATAAATAATAAACATCTATATAATTGACAAAAATATGAATTAATTTTTATATTTTTCTCTTTTTTATCACATTAACTAGTGATGTTAATTTAAGGGAGGTGAATGATAGAGGAAAGATACGTGTCATTTAAACAAATTTCAAGAAAGGTGAATGTAATTTTTCTTAGATTAAATTACATTTTTACCATAAAAAGTGTTATTTTTTTAACCGTGTTCCAGATTTAAGAATTGACATATGAACATTTAATAATTAGAACAAAATTTTAAAATTTTATAAATTAGAAAATAAAATTAAAATTAAAATAATAAAAAAACTAAAATAGAGGATAAAATAAAAACGTAAAAATGAAATTTAACATATTATATATTTATTTTAGTATATCTAAAAGTTCAATGTCGTTTAAGAATCGAGATTAAAGGTAATTTATAATATTTTTTTTATTAACCTACTGAGATACCTGTTAAGGATAAAATTGTGTTAGTTTAACAAGTATCAAAATGAATAATATCTTGAATGCAATGACCTTAATGATGTTTGTGGGATAAGGTCAAAATATTGACACTATAAAGAGAATCTATAAGTCACTTTTGTTTGTTTGTCTCAATTGTGAAACTTGTTTTAGTATGTATAAAGATCTCATATCCTTTAAAATTTGATGTTAAGGATAATTTATAAATATTTTCTCTCTTAATCCATTAAAACGTATTTTCAAAAATAAAATCATGACAATTTAACAAACATTAAAATGAATAATATTTCGTATACGATGATCTTAACAATGTTAATAGAATCAGATATTGACATTAAAAAGAGTGTCTATATCACTTTTATCTCTTAGCATCAACTAAAAATTTGTTTTTATATATTTTAAAATCTCACATCACTTATGAATTAAAGTTAAGGATTCCCTCCTTAACCCAATAATATGGTTAAAATCCTAACAATTTAATAAGTATCAAAACAGTCAATGCGGTGTGGAACAATATCGTGAATTAATTATTTAGGTCAAATACTTTTGTTTAAAAATTGAAAAAAAAAATGAAAATAATAAAGTGGAGACATGCACATCCAAGTTCCAACTTCTTGTTTGCCTTGGGCTTGGACCTATGCGGTTGGTTGTCCAGTATTCAATGTTGAGGTCCAAATCCTATTTCGTATTAGTGTTGACTTGTTTTAGGAGATGGCAAAAGGACTCGCGGGAGGAAATTGAGTATTGAGTTAGTTCTCCCGTTGTCACGCATTTCCAACATGTCCAATACAGCTATTTGTGATTTGTTTCTGTTTGATTTATAGATTAAAAAAATAGTTATTTCAAAATTATGCAAAGATTCATTATACATAACGAAATTTATAAGTTATGTTTGAATATATAAGTTATATTTAAAATTTGTATAAGTAAATATGTTTATATATATATATATATTATATTTTTAATTTATGATAAATAATTTATATTATAATATATAAAAAATATTTATTGATAATTTATTTTAAAAATAAATAATATACATAAATAAATATGATAAATAAAAAAATAAAATTAATAAAATTTCTAAAAATGTTCAAAGAATAACTCTAAAAGTATTGTTACTTAATATAATTATTTTCGTTTAATATATAGAGGTTAATTTTACACATTTTCATAAATAAAAGATAAAAAAGTGATATATTTTTTAGGTATTAAAAATAAACAATATTTTATTTACAAATGCTAAAAACATATTTAATTCTATTAATTTGGGTTGACGCAAGTGATGAAGTACTCACGTCGTTTAATCAAGTGGTTAAAATTTGAATCCTGATTCTTATGAATGGCAGAAAATTTAAGTTGGAAGAAAATATCTACTTATTTAATTTCTGCAAACTTTCAATCAAAATTGTTTCTGTATTCTACAAGAAATATATAAATAATTATAATAAATAAAAATTAAATTAGATAAAAAGTTTAAAAAAAATTATAAATTCTCTCATGAAAGAAAAGTTCCTAAAATCACATCATATAAAATAATCATTCAAATTTAATATATAAAAATTTTGACATCAATTAATAAAAAAAGTTTTTTTTTGTATTGTTTACATTTACTTTTTATTTAATACGTATATCCTATATTAAATATATATTAGGAGTTTATTATATAAATCATTAATGATATTAAATTATTTAATATATGTATAGATTAAATTAAAAGTTCTAAATGTATAGATTCAAATGAGTGTATTAAATACTTTAAAGATTATTTGTCAAATTGAATTAATGAAACGAAACATTAAATAATTTTTAAATTTTTGTTAAAAATAAATTATTATTTTTAAATTATAAATTTAATATATATATTAAAAACTTTTAATTTAATGATTAAATCATTGAAATTAAACATACATCACGAGTTATTAAGTAAAGTAATTTTAATGAGAGTTATTATATATATATATATATATATATAAAGAGGAATTCATTAACTACAAAATTAAGTCTATTTAAACTTATTTCACTCAATAATTCACGTTTGCATCAAATTTTAACAATCTAACCGTTAAATTAAAATTTCTCAATGTAGATCAAGTCTTCAAAGTTAAAAAAAAAAATAAAAATTATTTAATATTTTATTTCATTAATTCAAATTAATGAATAATCATTAAAATATTTTATATAGACCTTTATAAAAAAAAAACTCTCTAAACATCTAAAAACTCCTTAGAAATTCCTTAATTATTATAGTCTCTCACCAATACACCCAAAAATATCACAACACACCGAATTACTAATAAAAACACAATAATTAAGAAGAACATACAAAGTTACGTGTTGTAAATACCGAATAATGTCTCACAAAAGGAGAAAAATTCCTACTAAAAAAAATATACAATGCATATCACGCATATACCTAACTTTAATTTGGTAATAGAATTCTTAACTGATAAAAATTATAGTATAAAAGCTGTTTATTTATAAGATTTTTCTAATTTTTTTTAATAATACTATTGATACAAACTAACTTTAAATCACCATAATTCAAATCTTATTTATTCTAAAAGAAATTTGAATTTAGTTGCAATCAGCTAACTAACGACTTAGTCAATCCATCCTAGCGTATTTTCCCATTGAGGTTTTTTTTGGATGTCATAAATGTCGAGTAAAATTGACATGGATTAAAAAAATTAAAGTGAAGTACCATAGTATCTAATAATAATGTATATAGCTTTATGGAAACCGACTATCTTCTTGTCCAACTAGAAAGAGAGGGACAAATATATTAAAAAAAAATGCTTCTCTAAAAAAAGGTTTTGGCTTCGATTTATCGTACACACGTATCTTTGGATCATTAGGTACTCTAATCTAATATAAAAGAATAAGAATAATGATTTGATTTTCGACACATGTAAGTAGACAATAAAGCCATATACAGTAATATCTAATAATATTGTATATGACTTTATGGAGATGGGCTATCTTCTTGCTAATACTCTAAACTAATATAGAAGAATAAGAATAATGATTTTTGACAAACGTAAGTAGGCAATAAGTATTTAAAATAAAACCTAAGGAGAAAGAGATAAATAATAACCGTGTTTAATAAATAATATGATAAAAAAAAGGATTGAAATGTGTAAGATATTTGTGTCTCTTAAAGAAAAACTCTAGTTTGATTTTTGGTTTGAAAATAAAGTGATGATTAAAATTGTTATCACTGTACCTTTCAATAGGCCGTTCTTTGAAAGGGGAATTTGTTAGATGCCAAATTGAACTCCCCTATACTTCTTGATTAAACTAAAGTAAAATTAAAAAAATAGTTTAATTGATTTATAAAATACTTCCAGCCTGGTATGAAAGAATATTTGTGAATAACCAAATTAATAATTGATTGACAACAGACTCTCTTCTATATGATTTTTCACTAATGACAATGGATTGAGTTTAATTTAACTGTAAATGCGCCCAAGGAAAATAATTATAAAAATATTTTTACTAAGTCAATATACCTAAGCAATGTGAATTCTATCATAAGAAAACATGCTGATGTCTCACTTATCAATTGAGCAATACAACAAATCCAACCTTTGCAACAAACCTAACGGCGTAGTATATGGAATATGGATAATGGGTTGGTTGCACCTCAATAATAATAATAATAAAAAAGGTAGATAGTTTTAAGGTAAAAGACATCACACCCAATGTTTCAAATAAATAAAACAAGTAATTAACTTGTACGGTGTGTTTCATGTACAAAGTATTTGGAATTTTAGCTTCTACACATTTTCTGTTGATTTGACGCAAATTCACTAAAAAAACATGCGTATATTATGCCAAATCAAGCACTCCGAAAGTCTAAAACATTTTATAATCGATAAATAATTTAAAAAAAAAAAAAATTGTACTGTGCAAGCCACGTGTTTAGTTTGGCACGTGCCTTTGTGAAGCCACAGAAAGTAGATTTTGTGTTTGGATGTAAAATTTGACATAAACCAAGTTTGTAATCAATCATACACCAAAATTAGTATGGAATTGACAAATAATTCGCACGAATCTTTAGTGAGTATATATAAAAGATATTTGTTGGTAGAAGTTCAGCGATAAATCTTGATAATAATTGAGAGATTAGTTTTTAACTTTTGATTAAAAAATATTTGGGTTTAAAAAGAAAATTGTAACATATTCTACTGAGCGACCTCTAAAGTGAGCACAATTTCATGGTACTTGTTTGAGTGACCAAAATCATACACTAGCTACGTATTATATTGTTTGTATCAAACATACCGAAACTGGAAACTTCAGCACAGTAACCTTATATGGGGGCAACATTAAGCTATGAAATTGGCATCACTGCTTCCACAATCATATAAATAATAATCAAGGTGGATTGAACAAGGAAAAACGATTCATAAAATGTTTATTACAAATTTCCTATTGTCCATACAATGGATTTTCATGAACCAAGATTATGACAAACTATATAAACCATTGTAATATTCACGAACTCAAATAATTACAAACATAAATAGTTGATACGTTAGTATTGTCATCAAAGACTTATTTGTGTGATAAATAAAATTTTTGAGATATAACAATTTTTTTTCTTTTCAATAATGATTGGACCAATAAAACTACTAACAAGCGTTTCTTAATGACAACAATCCAAAATCTCATAAAAAAAAGTACAAAATAAAATATAGGAGGTGAAAATTCACTATGAAATTTCTAAAATGTACGTTATCTATACTATTTATATGTATAAGGGATAATAGTTGGGTTACTTCTTTTTAGTTTTCATTGTTTTGGTACCATATATGTATCTTTATAACTTCTCTAAACTATGGAATGTGTTTGGATCTGCGATTATGATCCCACATTTTTCACTAAATCCTCGTCCAAAACATCAAAATGATAGAGAAACAAATATTCTTAATTTTGAGTTTGTTCCTGCGCGAGAACACTTGTCTCCTTACTTCTTTCTCAGCTGCCTTCAAGTCTTTCCGAGTCTTCCGTGCCGACCGAATTACTAACTCCGAATGGTGGGGAGGGTACCTGCAAAGGCACTCCGACGATCAAGTCAGTGTTCGGTTTAGAGCAATAAATGTGCTGGTGGGAATAGTAACGTACCTCATTTATGTCACACCACCTGTATATTTATAGTGACATATGTGGGCCTGATGGGCCTTCATCCTTGGGAAATGGGTAATACATGATTTAACCTTAATCCTGTCTTAATCTAGTATGGTAATTAATGCCAAGTAGGCAGTTGGTTTGCCACGTGTTTATCATAGGCTCTTTCTTCAGGTTCTCGGCCAGACTTGGGGCCGAAGGGGTGTTCGGCCAGGCTTGGGGCCGAAGGGGTATTCGGCCAAGCTTGGGGCCGAAGGGGTGTTCGGCCAAGCTTGGGGCCGAAGGGGTGTTCGGCAAAGCTTGGGGCCGAAGGGGTGTTTTGAATAGTTTCATACCCCTTCTCTGGGTTTTTGGCTACTCACGAGACCGAGGGAGTGCTCGGCCAAGCTTGGGGCCGAAGGGGTGTTCGTCCAAGCGTGGGGCCGAAGGGGTGTTGTGTTTCATTCGGCTAAGGCATTCCTTTCGGTCTATTTCCTGTCCTGAGGGGGCAGTTGGTGTGGTTCCTTGGTTCGGGCCCCCCTCTCGGCCCATTGTCCGACCGAAGGGGTGCCAATTGGTGCGTTTCATTAGTTTGGGCGCCCCTTTCGACCTATTGCACGACCGAAAGGGTGCTTCCTAGTACACTACCCCCCCAAGCCCAAGGATGCAAGACGAAGGGGTTTTACACTTAGAGGCTCGGGGAGATTTAGGGTTTAGAACGTAGGGGGTTACCATAGATTGAATTCAAATTACACCCCATAAACTACCCCCTACCCATCGGTGCAGCAATATCAATAGTGGTAAACATAGAATTCTTTTCAAAGTAACAAATATAATTGACAAAAGCATTACTTTTTTAAAGTAATGAAGACAAAAATATTACTTTCGTGAATCACTCTCCAAGGACTGTTTATAATTGGTCGGAATCACAATTGCATGTTGCTTGAATGAATTTATTTTCCAGTTATATAAAGTATCAGAAATTAAATTGGTTATTGACTTGACCATTATGTCGGTAATCAGAATCAAAGCAGCAGAAGGAACAATATGCATTTCTTCGATTACCAAACTGTATAAAGCTATCTAACAATAGAAACACCACCCATCTAGCAGCCTTCGATTCATTATCCAAATGAAGCATTTTTCTCTCATGTTACCCGCATTATGGTCTATGCATGTCCACCTATTTTTTCTCTTTACATTAAATTCAGTATGGCTTACTCCAAATATGATTGTTTTTGCATCAGGAAATGTGACAGATGCGTTGGCATTGCTTAAATTTAGAGAATCCATATCCATCGACCCATATGGAATCTTGCTCTCTTGGAATACTTCTACTCACTTTTGTAATTGGCATGGAATCACATGTCATCTCATACATCAAAGAGTTACAGAGTTGAACTTGCAAGGATACAAGTTGAAGGGGTCCATATCTCCCCATATAGGTAATCTCTCTTATATGAGAATCTTCAACCTCAACCACAACAACTTCTATGGAAATATCCCACAAGAATTGGGACGCTTGTCACAATTGCAGTTCATCTTTGTGGATATAATTCATTGGAAGGAGAAATTCCTACAAACTTAACAGGTTGTGCTAATCTCAAAAGCTTATATTTATATAGTAACAATTTGATTGGCAAAATGCGATCTTTTCTCTGAATGGTCTGATCTTGGTGGTGTGGGGCTTGATTGTGGTGCGCAGCCTTGCGCTCTGCGTGAAAATCTGCCTCGCCCGTATGGGCATTTTTATGTGATTTCTGGATTTTATGTGGTGTATAGGTTTTTCAACTTGACTTCTGAGGCTATGCTTGATGATGTGTTGGCAAAGGGTAAGGAGTTTTGTGGAAAGAGATGGGATGTTGCGAAGAAAAGTGTTGCTCCGCAACCCTTTATTGAGCAGTACTGCTTCAGGGCACCCTACATTGCCTCTTTGCTGAGGGAGGGTTTGCACATTAATGATAACCAAATAACTGTTGGGTCTGGAAATATCACTTGGACACTTGGGGTTGCCCTTTTGGAAGCTGGAAAGGCATTTTCCACTAGATTTGGGTTTCGTGACTTGGAGTTTTTCCAGATGAAGATAAATCCCCTTGTTCTTGTGCCCATTTTGTTGCTTTCTTTTATACTCCTTCTTTGTGCTTTATCATGTATTGGCAATTGGATGCCAAGGTTTTTCCGGAGGCCATTTCTTCCCATTTCCAGGCATAACAGTGTTTCTGGTGCTTCTGTCCTTAATATACCATCTCCTTTTCGGTTCCAGCGATGGAGTCCAATTAACTCTGGTAAGCTATTTGCACAAATGATGATTTCTAGTAACCCAAAAACTTATTTGATGAACTGTTTTGTTCAAAACTTTGCTAAGATGCTTAAGAATTGTTCATTTGTTCTTGTCCTTTTATTTGAGTTCAATTTCTATTCACTGTTAGTGTAATTTACATTGTCAATCAATTAGAAATTATTGATGGTACGACTCTTAAGGTGATTATTTTTTAAGTTAACAAGCTTACCCTGCAATGTTATTTTTGATTGGATAACAGTGTGAAAAAACTCTTTACACTATCAGGGCATATATTCTTTATTTTTTACTATTAAATATGGTATAACGACCAACATCCTTTTGTATATCTTGGATCCTACTCTGGCTTATTTTTGTCATGTCTCATCAATTTTGAAAGCTTGCAATCATAAACAATGTGTATGTACTCAATTTTCCATTATTATGTGGATGATTTGTGCCTGTGTATTTTGTAAATCATAACTGTGTTGCTCCTTAAAATGGCTTGTGGATTCCGTATAATTTATGTGAAATTCCTTTTAGAATTGACCTTTAAATCCAATTTACACCTATGGTACCACAGGGGATGGAAGATTAAAGATGCCACTCAGCCCAACAGTTGCAGGTTCACAACATAGCCCGTTTGGTCTAGGGCATGGGCTTGATGACAACAGTGGTGGCATCCAGCTTATGGAGTCTTCATTGTACCCATCAACTAGTAATGTCTCACATAGTTATTCCTCAAACAGTTTAGGACAAATGCGTCTACAGAGTAGGAGATCACAGTCTCGAGAAGACCTGAATTCCTCATTGGCTGAAGCTCATCTGGTGAAGGTTTAGGGCATCATCTTCTCAAAACATTGGTATGATTTCATTAATATCTTTTAAAATTACGCCCCTCTAATAGACCAATCTTTTCTCTATTTTTTGCTTTATCAAAGTTTAGATATTGTTCCTTCATTCGGACCTGTTTCCATTTTAACAACATAGAATTTTCTTTTAGCCGAGTGAGGTGTACCTTGGAGTGAGATTGCATGAAAGTCGGTTAAGACTTCAACCTTGCCCGAGCAAATTGCTCGGGAGGGAATTGTTTTTCCAACCTTGGCCGAGCAAGTTGCTCGGGAGGGAATGTTTCTTCGTCCTTGCCCGAGTTAAGGTACTCGGGAGGGAATTGATTGTTCATCCTTGGCCGAACGAGGTAGTTCGGGAGGGAATGTTACTTCGTCCTTTGCCGAGTTAAGGTACTCGGGAGGGAATTGATTGTTCATCCTTGGCCGAACGAGGTAGTTCGGGAGGGAATGCTACTTCGTCCTTGACCGAGTTAAGGTACTCGGGAGGGAAATGATTGTTCATCCTTGGCCGAACGAGGTAGTTCGGGAGGGAATGTTACTTCGTCCTTTGCCGAGTTAAGGTACTCGGGAGGGAATTGATTGTTCATCCTTGGCCGAACGAGGTAGTTCGGGAGGGAATGCTACTTCGTCCTTGACCGAGTTAAGGTACTCGGGAGGGAAATGATTGTTCATCCTTGGCCGAACGAGGTAGTTCGGGAAGGAATGTTACTTCGTCCTTAGCCGAGTTAGGGTACTCAGGAGGGAATTGATTGTTCATCCTTGGCCAAACGAGGTAGTTCGGGAGGGACTGTTACTTCGTCCTTAGCCGAGTTAGGGTACTCGGGAGGGAATTGATTGTTCATCCTTGGCCGAA